ACTGAACATGTAAAATCCATACCCAAGAAAAGTATCCCCATCTATTATTTAAAGCCCCGCTAATTATGCATTTATGAGTATATGAATTTTATATCTGTTGGCAGGATTTCAATCACTGGCCAGCTTTATTGAAATGATGAGCAAGTCTCATTTTCACTGTAGAATAACTTCAACATGTCCTATAAAATCCACACAGCATGTGTGGCTTATTTCAAATTCAGACTGAAATGTGCCATTTCCGGGACAGTATTTCAACACAATATGGTTCAGAATGTGTTCATGAGTCCTGCAAAAATGTATTGATGGTCTCAAAGTTTACTCCAAAAAAAAAAAAAAAAAAAAACACATTTCAGCTTGACATTTCACATTTCAGCTGGTAGGTAATATGAGACAGTCCTGTATAAAACGTATAAAATAGGACGTAGCATTGTGAAATCTAGAAAATGTTGCATAGATATCCAGTTAATGCCAGACAGAGGAATCACAACTGTAAATGGAGTACAGACATGTTTAGCAACATTTAAGCTTATATGGCTATCTACTGTGCAAAAACTGCAAGAATGTGAAATAGATGAAAATAGGCATGAGCTGAAGAACAGTAAACGCACACATAATAAGACACCTGGAACTGAAACATTCCCCAGGAGTCTCTGTGACCTTGATTTTTGACCTTTTGTGCGGAGTTGCGGAGAACAGTGAGCAAAACCTGTTTGCTAAGACTTACAATCCACGCAGGTTAGTGTTAAGAGACTGGAAATCCAAAAATATTTCAGGACCCTTGTGGCCATGGCCTTTTCCTGAGGGTTTTGGGGGAACAGCCTAGACAACTAAACAATGTTCATTTATAGTTTCACCTCAGTCTATCCGTAAATATGGCCAAAAACCACTTTGGTGGTGCAACCATAAAACTAGGGTAGGATAACCAAAAAATAACACTCCTTTTGCTGGCTTTATCAAACTCAGTTTGGGGAGGAGTAGAATTAGGACTCTGCAATTACAACCGCATGAGGAGAAAACATTACTAGCCGGATGTGAGAATCGATACCCACTATCCTCCTCTCTCCAGCAGTGTTTATGGCCTCACGGTGAAGATCAGAGGCTGGAGACTGCAAGAGGGCGTTAATTACAGCGCGTAGTTAATTACAGTGTGTAGTTCAAACAGCACACTGCCAGAGGCCCGCAGAGAGCCCGGGGGCCCCTGGCGTTCTGCCCCAACCAGGAAGCGAGGGCCCCGGGTCCCGGGAGGCTGCCCGCTGCGGGGGAACTGCGACAACGCGCAGCTACTTCCTGCAAACCATTAAAAGGACGGATGACAGTGGAGCACCACGCTGGCAGGAACTGATAGTATTAAGAGAATGTCTCTTCTCGTGTAAGTGGGTCTATGGTGTTTCCGGATATGCAGTCCCCAGAGAGCGGTTTTCACAACCATCAGATCAATATATGTATCGGACAAACGCTTGGGTCCTCTCACTCCATCAATCAATTCACCAGTGTCCCTGTCATGCCTGCGCTGACCCCCAACCCCGACCCCCTTACAAACATTTAACCGACATCAGTGTAATGGTATCCTGTCCATCTGTGCCTGAGGGAAACCTAGTGAGGACCACCTCTGCAGCGGCCATCGGCTCCATACACCTCTGGTCTGTGTGGCTCTCCTTAGTGAGTCACACAAGAGATGGGGAGTGTTTTGAGCGGGCGCGTAGAGGACGACTCAGAAGCTGGGAACAGGGTCGCGTGTGTCAGCGAGGACCCCGGATGGACCTTGCACCTGCAGCAGCGGGCCCCATCTGAGGCGGCTCAGAAAAGGCCAGCTTCTCTGTGAGGCAGTGTGTGGAGAGTCTGACTCAGACAAGGAGCTTTTCAATTAGATCCACACACAGTGTCCTCTTTGTAGGAGCACAACTTCCTCTGCATCTCCTGTGTCTCTTTTTCGCTCTTTCTCTCTCCCTTCCTCTCTCCCACTCTCTCTCACTCTCTCCCTCCCTCTCTTTCTCTCTCCCTTTTTTACTTTCTCTCTCTCCCTCCCTCTGTTTCTCTACCTCCCTCTCTCCTTATATCTCTCTCCCTTCCTCCCTCTGTTCTGCCTTAATAAAGCGTGGTAGGTAAGTTAATTAAGTACTCCTGTGTCTGAACCCCTCTGCATTCCTGACTTAATTCAAATATGCTGCTGCAGACAGAGCTTCAGAGGACTGCATGGCCTTCTGCCCCAGCATCAGCGGCTGTGATCACATGCGATACATCACATTCAAGCACAAGGTTAGGACATCTCCTATTAGCTGTCTACATTATTATTATGCCCCTTAAGAGCACAGTCCTCAAACTTTACGACAAGCAGATCCTGGGGTACTGAAATATTTTTTTCAATGACCACATTCATTGCATCTCTTCTACATATCCTTGAACATATACCACTCACTATGTGTAACCATTACTGTACAAATAATATGTGAATAATATGCTGTTTTTCATTTTGATCAAGGAAAGATTTTCATATTAAATTTGTTGCATTTCTTGGAAAAGCACTCCAGCTTTAAACTTCAGGACATGCCATGGTTTCAGGATCACAGAAGGATAGAGTTGATAATGAAAACATACAGGAAAACAGGGTTCAGGATCCCTACTGTTTGGTCTCACGATTACGGTTAACATTACTGTTAAGTCAGAAGAGCATCTTCCCCTGTTTTTCAGAGTTTCTAGAATCCTATTCTCTGGCTGAAATGCTAACAAATGCAGCCGCAGAGATAAGCCGGCACCTTCAAACGCTCCCAGCCCAGCTGTGCGATAACACCGGGATAAGAGATCTCACCGATTTACCGGAACATTCTGTACACAACGGCAGCTGACGGGGGTTGGGGGACGCAGGTCGCAAAGTGGATAAAAAATGTTGAATCACTCCGGCTCAGTCGTGACTGACACGGCTGTAGTGTCTGAGAAACGCGAGGCTGGCAGCTGTACTGGGATCAGTGCGTGAGCTGGCGTGCCTGCGTCGTGGGGGCATGTGGGAGTGTTAAAAAGAGCCCAGGGTGGAATTACATGGGAAAGAAAAAACAACAGGGAAGGTGTTTGGTTGGACGTGCCAAGCGTGTATAAATCAGTCTGATGAGGGACAGCTTGCCATGCTGTGAGATGGAGAAGTATAAATGAAACTCTTCTGGAGCTCAGTTTTACCAAGGCACTGACTTTCTGGCAGAAAACCTGAAATATCTAATATCAAAGGTCCAATCAGACGCGCTCGTTAAATGATTGTAGGCTGGATTAAAAAAAAAAAAAAAAAAAAACGAGCGACCCCAGGTGCCCTTTCAGCTGTTCCAGCGGGGGGAGAATGTTCCGGAATTTCAGAGAGGACAGGGGGCAGGGATTCTAGTGGCAGGCTGTGGGTGGGTGAATGACATGAGGAAATTACCCCACCATTACCAGCAGATGGAGGACTGTGTGTACACTTTGTGTACAATGAAGGGGTCTGAGGCAGAGGGGCATTTTGTGCAATCACCATCTGCAGGGACAGTGATGGACGGGCCACCATTTTGTGTGGCGTCACGTTGCTGTGTTCCCAGAAGAGAGGGTCAGACTGGGCGTACCCCACAATGCTTTGCGTGAGGCAATGGTGCAGCTCTTTGGAGTAGCCAGTGTGATATCTCCGTCGTAGATGAACCGCTGCCCAGAGGTTATGTGGGCATTAGCTGTGAGCTCATCAGCTCTGTTTTGATTGAGGGCTTTGAAACGAAACCAATTAGCCCATTTTGGGCCGCTTAGTGCTCACTGAAGTCAAATGGAGCGGGCCTAAATTCCAGTGTGTGGCTGCACTCCTCAGCCTCCTGCAGCTGATACTCCTCTCTGACAGGGCTGCTGTCAGCACAGCCTGCATAATCCCATGTTGACGAACGTTTCTCAATGCCGTTAATTACATAAATGTGTTAAAGCTAATTGCAAACACTCCCGGTAATGAAGGGAATATGAGTCGAGCTTCAGCTGCGCTCTCAGAACCAGCTGGGGCAGTTATGGATATAGGGCACCTAGCTCAACGGCCACCCAAGGCACATCAAAACATGAAGAAACTCAGGAGTCCCAAATGTATACACGGATGGCCTACATTCCCACACTCATATTTCCTCCAGACATTTGCTGGGAGGGGATTTAAGACCCGAGTCAAAGTTATTTATTGAGAAAAACTGTAACCCATGCAGTGCGTGAAACATGGCTCTGGCCTTATCGTCAGCGCATTTTTCCAGGCAACACAGAGGAAGAGGACTGCTTCACAAGGCAGAGACTGTGTTCAGAGAAACACCGGGGAATAAACTGTAGCACTGGGCCCTGAGGAGCAGTACTCTGTAAGATCACCCAGATCGCCCTCTGTCACTGTTTCATCCTCACCATCACTGGTTACTTAACCAATTTCTGACAGCTTGATATGAATGGTGCTTTCTTCACTGTTTTTCTGCTAGGTTGCTGGGAGTGATAAATGGAACACAGAGCTTGCAGTGCTACCAAGGAAACAGACAAAACAGGGGCATGTTTCAGATCTCCTCTGCCCTTCTCCCTTTTTCCACAGGGCTCCTTGTAGTAGCCATTTCTGCACTTGACTGCACAGAGAACCCAGCTCAATACCGCCCGGGGGATTCTTCTTCTTCGATTCGGAAGGCAAAAACACCCCCCTCCACCGATGTGAACGCCAGGCCCTCTCCTTCAGGCAACAGATCTGGCTCCTCCATCAGACGCCAGGAATGTCACTAGCTGGGCTGCAAGTCCCATCGCTCACGTCTGGTTCTTGTAGGATGTTAAGGCTAGGCCGCTCAGCAGTGCAACAGCAACACAGGGCTAAGAGTGAAAAGAAGCCTGGGTTCCATGCATACTGCCATGTGTGTTACCTGGACACCATGCCTGACAGATAAACACAATTAAAACAACTGACGTTCTATTATTTATTTACTTATCAGATTCCCTTATGCAGAGAAACCTGCATGAGGCTACACTTATGACATTATTCATACTATACTTATATCAGCAGTGTAGTATAGTGATTAGGAGCAGGGCTCATAACCTAAAGGTTCCTGGTTCAATTCCCTGCACTGCTGTTGTTCCCTTGGCAAGGTACTTAACCCAAAACCGCCTTAGTAAATATCCAGCTGTATGAATGGATAACATGTAAAAATTGTAAGCTATGTAAGTCTCTCTGGATAAGACTGTCTGCTAAATGGCAATAATGTAATGTAATGTAATCTATGGACACACATTAGATGAAGTAAACTGCAAACCCTCTGTTTACATTTACATTTATTCATTTGGCAAACGCTTTTATCCAAAGCGACTTACATAGGTTACAGTTCTTTTACAATGTTATCCATTTATACAGCTGGATATTTTACTGAGGCAATTGTGGGTTAAGTACCTTGCCCAAGGGTACAGCAGCAGTGTTCCAGCGGGGATAAAACCGGCAACCTTTCAGTTACGAGTCCTGCTCCTTAACCACTATGCTACACTGCCACTGTTTCCGTGTGCAGCTCTGTAGCCAATGCTCCCCAATAAACTAGTGTGGCACACAGCACTCCATCCTCCCCCTCAAACAGGGAAGGAGCGGACAGCATCAGGCCAAACCCAGCCCTGTGTGTTTGGGGTGAATCTGCAGTGAAGGCTGATTTGCAGGGAGACAGAAACCCCCCCTTTCTTATGTGAGAACAGGGAGGAGAAGATCACAGGGGACAGGGGACAGGCTTGTCCCCAGCAGGCCCGGATTCTGAGCAGCCGTGTGGAGGATTTGGATAACACCTCTGCGTGCCATTAAACATGCCTTCCCCACAGGATCGCACGAGGGGGGCGAGGGATTAGAACATGTGCGGGACGGGGCTCCCCGCGCCGGCAGGTCGTGGGTTCTGGTGATCGCACAGCGGGTGGAGGGACAGGACGCTCTGTTCTGCTGTAGATGTGCGACACGCCGTTCACACTTACACACTAGTGCATGCAACACCAGCAGGAGTGCTGATGCAGTTTGGGGAAGACAAGTCTGATGAGCAGGCCCTAGATCTGACTCACACAGAAACAGAGACACACACACACATGCACACATACATAAACACACACACATACATAAACACACACATACACACAGGCTAGCACAGACCACAGACACACTGCTGCATGTGCATAAGTAAGGACATACATACACACAGACTGGCACACACATACATAACTGCATACATACACACACAGCCTAGCACACATACACACACAGGCTGGCACACATACACACATAGGCTGGCACACATACACACATGCGCACATACATGGTAAATAATAATCTGGGCATATGGCTGGTCACAGAGGGACATCATTTCAGTTGCAGGCATGAAAGTGACAGCAGACAGCATAACCAACTGAATGCATTGATAATTCATCACTGAAACCACCCACGCCCCATTTTCAACCCACCCCCCACGAATCACAGCTAACCTGAAGCTCACACTATACATACAGTATTTCAGAAACATGTATTAATAGAACTAAACGCGTTTATAATGAGAAAGACAAATCCTAGAGCATTCGCCACCAGATTCCAGCTTTACTCTGAAACAGAAAACAGGCTCCTGTTCCAGCAAGCGCAGCGCAGATCAAATACAGTCGATTCCTCCGCCTGTACCGCTAATGCCCTGCGGAGACAGGGAGTCAGGGGACCCGCATCTGACGGCACAGAATCCGGGGAGCGGGGGAGGGGGGGGAGGGGCGAGGGGCTGTGGGGGCGAAGCTGCCTCGCTGTCACTCAAAAGTGGCAGCTCATGCTGGGCGCCTTGCTTTCATCAGTATAAGCAGAGCAGCTACCGCCACTATGATGGAGCCATGGGAAGACCGGAAACCTCCATCCAATCAGAGGAGGAGTTCAGCAAACCACACACTGTGTTAAGGACATTGAAATCTCCCAGGTACCTCTGCTGCCGTATGAAAAGGAGTCTGATAAAGGAGGGAGCGAGAGCCATTTATGTTCTTTACAGTAAACCTTACACTAAAGTAAAGAAGAATATTATGTTCTTTACACTACATTTTACTTTACAGTATGTAATATGATGTTCCTTACAGTAAATTTTACAATAAAGTAAATAAAAATATGATGTTCTTCACAGTAAACTTTACACTAAAGAAGAGCATGGTGTATTTTACTGTAAACTTTACGGTATAGAAGAATGTTATGCTCTTCACAGTAAATTTTACAGTAAAAAAGAATGAATTCAGTGGCTTTGCTGCGCTCTTCACTCCCCCCTCTGTATCGATGCTTTAGGAGGACTGACTGTCCTGTCCCGAGCCAAACCAGACACAAACTATGCACAGGGCATTCAAGGTCACTCTCTGGAGCGCAGCTCACAATTTAAAACACACACCCTCGCTTATCAGAACCTGAAATTAACCTGAGGTTTTCTGGAAAAGGTCTGTAACCATGGGAAACCAACCCCTGGGGAAAGCACAGCTCTTGTGAGGAGAATGTATAAATCCTAGGTTTGCCCAACCAAACAAATTCCCTGTTTTTTCATGGAAAATATTCATGTTTTTCATAATAAGTATGTGACATCCAGTATAATGGATGTGGCCAATCAGACACACTAGGCTATACAACTGAAGTTTAACTGTAGATATGGAAAATGAATGCTACACCGTTACAGTCTTCATGTCATTCTTGTAGCGGGATATTTTGTATGAGATTTCAATATTTTAATATGATCCAATTCAAGAGTGCCAGTGCCATACCAGGTAAACATTTCATATGTCAGTTTGCAGTAGTCTGATGTCATTGTCATTTTTCAAACTGCACCCCTAGCTACAGATCCTGCTTTACAGTACGGCTGCTAGCAGGCTCTGACATTATGCACTGTAAATCAAAGAGGCCCTGGTGAGCTGCTCTTACATAAACACACCCCAACGGCCACAGGAACTCATTAGTATTCGCAAAGAGAGAAAGAGGGCTAGATGGAGAGAGTAAGAGAGAGTAGAGAGGGACAAGAAAATACAGCTCCAACCATTTGGAGCATCAAATCCAAGCATCCTGTTATGAAGGCAGCAATTAAGAACACACGTTTAAATAAACTCCTTTTCAGAAAGAGTTCATCTGTGGAAGAGGCACATCCCAGAGGACTTGTGATGGGCGGGGTTATGCAATAACAAGCATGTTTGTCCCAAGCACCAGCTAAAATACCTCGCATTTATCTGCATAAGCAAATACAAGGAAACTGCTTTCATTTACACTCACGGTTACATTCTTATAGCAGCAGACTTTTTTCTTTACCCAGCATCCCCTTCAACAGTAAGCCATTTCTAATGAGCTCAGCTAGAGGGTCAATAAAACCCTGATGACTATCCATTGATTGAGCAGGACCAGGGAATAGCTTGTTTAAAGCAAGCTTCAACTGACCTACATTACGCACTTGGCAGTGCACCACGAATGTAACTTAGCGTAGCATAATTTGATGTAACCTACAATGCAAAGACACGTTAGCTTTTTAAATGAAATTACAGGGACTATTATACGGCACTAGCCTAAGTGTGTATAGAGGAGCTAGCTCATTAGGTTCTCAATGGCCCAAAATTGTCCGTTTGAAGCTTGGAACTGACAGAATTCTGCTGCTCTTGGCAGCGTCTGCATTTGGAGCTGCTGGCACACTCTGTATGGGCATAAACTGCCAGTTATTGTTTGTAATGATGATAATAATGTGGATCTACACAAATAATCACATCCATAAACCAGAGGTTTCCACACAGTGCATCAATAACACGGGGTATCGGTAGAGCTGTCCAGTGACACAGACAATAACAAGAGTGTGCACGCACAAACACACACACACACGTGCGAACTGAGAATTGGATTTTAGCATGTAGCACTACAAATTGGTTAAATTTTTGATCTTTAGCCCTGAACTAGGATGCCAAAAAGGGAGCTTACAATTTTCAGTAAGGACACCAAGCATAAACTAATAAACCGATAGATATTAGGAGTTTTCTTGTCTGAAAGTGTGAGTGACTGCAGCCATCTGTAGCAGCGGCTGCTTATTCACACAGCACTTGGGCTAAAGAAAGCAGGATTAGACTCTAGCGTTTGACCTTGTGAGGCACGGAATATTCCGGTATCGAGTCATTTTACAGCCTTCTCCAGCGGCTCCCTCCTGCGTGCACCGCTGGGCTCTCCCATCAATCCCCTGCAAAGGCAGCTTCCTCTTAAAGGAAAGCAACGCCACTCGAATGAATTGTTAGAATCAACAGCTCCGCTGAGCGATCAATGGCCTAATCCAATAGAGTGAATAGCGGCCGAGCTCCTGGTTTCCACAGAGCGCTCGCACCGTCAGAAGCCTGGCTGGGAGCTACATGGCGGTTTGCGCGTCTCCTAATAACCCGCCGCATTGTTCGGTGCGTAACTCATACGTACCGGTTTAAGTGGCTGAGCGCTAAACCTGATCCTGTCGTAGCGTTATCTCCCCGTGTGTCTGCTCCACCTGTCCCTGAAAGTCCCTGAAACAGCAGGGCTGCGGGCTTGTATAATGTGCGCTCGATGTTTTCGCCCTGTGTAATGCTAAACGGCCGTGTCCTACCAGCAGACGGCCCGAGAGCTTAGTAAAGATGGCCTCCATTTGACAAAATCTTGTGCTTACGACCCCAGCTTCTCCAGAACACGTGGCGCTGCATTCGGCTCCAGCATGCTAGTTGTCTTGTGTAATGTTGTTTGCCCTGTGAATTTCACCTCTGACTGACTGGCTTGGAGAAATGTGGTTACTTGTGAGGAGAAAAAATTAAGCACTGACAAGGCCACCCTTCCCACAGGCCTTCACATTCACCAGAGAGCATCTCCATTTGTGGCAGTGTTGAAATCCTCTGAAGGACACACTAAAAGGTTTCTACAGCAGCTTTAATGGCGTCCCCAGGTAAACAGGGCTATGACTGCTTTTGTTACCGCATGATGGATGTGCGGAGTAGCTCTGAGCGTTTCGCGCGGACAGATTCCTCCATTGGCTGTCTGTGTTTGCCTCTGAACTCAAAGCAGTGATAGAACGCCAGCCTCACTCCTGCAAGTCGAAAGCACAACTGCGCGCACACACACACACAC